AATGCCACTTTCTCAAAGTGTTTAAGGAAAAATTAAAGTTTAGGTATCTTCCAAAAATCCACACAATTTAACAATTTTCATATTTCATTTAATAGTTTTATTATTCATTTAATTAAGATTTCACTTTTTTATTATATTCTAATTTGGCCTTTTAGAAAAAAAATACTTCGTGACGGATTTTGCAACTTTAAAGATATTTAAATCTGGTTTCTACATATGTAAATTTTAATTATTAAAAATTGTACGGATTATTAATTATCATTAGGGAGGACTTAACATTAACATTGATAAAAAATGTTGACTTTGCAAATCAATTTGGGACGGATAAGGTAACTAATACAGAGTAAATTAATTTTAGATAAACTATAATAGTACAAATTTTAATAATTTAACTATACTTCGGTCCGGTACCGGTTCTCATTTTATGAGAACCTGTCATGGCATTGTTTGGAACCGGTACAGTCCAGTTCGGGACAAAAAAATTGAGATCCGTTTCAAACCCCGTTTATCGGTCCGGTACCATACCGGCCCAGTTCGGTACCATGCCGGTTCGGTATTTTTGCCCGCCCCTACTATTTTACAATATTAAAAGATAATTAAAAATCAATCTAACTAAAGAATTAGAGCTTAAATAAATTAAAAAATTATAATGAGAAAAAACATACCTACGAACGGACACAAAATATAAATTCTTCCGAGAAAATCCAATGCACAATGTTCACTTCAACATCCACATATAGCATAGGCAACATCTCTTTGCAAATCCATATTCATCATTCTATATCATTAACTATGAAGAAAAATTGAGTGTGAGTACAAAACTAAAAGAGGATGGGTATTTATAAATAATTCTTGGCACGGACATAGGCACGGACTTAGGCACCAAGCTGATTTACCTCCCAACGGGCACTTTATTGGCACGGCATTTTGGCACATCTCCGACAACGGTAACGTTTTGGCACGATTTTAGGCACGGCATTGGCACCCCTAGACAACGGTTGTATTTTGGCACAATAAATTGGCACGCCCATGGCACGGTCTGGCTAACGGTAATATTTGGGTTCGAACATAGGTACGGATTTGGCACGGCGCAGGCATGACATATGCAAGCCGACGACAACGGTAACATTTTGGCACTACATTTGGCACGGCTATGGCACGACTATGGCACGGCCATGCTAACGGTAGTATTTAGACCCGGCATAGGAACAGATTTGGCACGGCCTTGGGCACGTCTTCAAACGGAAAAATTTTGGCACTGCTAAAGCTGTGCCAAGGTTATAACGGCAACGTTACCGGGTTTCGCTTCCGTTTACTTCGGACGGGATTTGGCACGAACGTTGATCTGCCGACGTTGGCACGGCTCTCGTTGTGCCAAATGTGGAGCCAGTTGAAATGCCCACAATTTTTGGGACGAAGTTGTGCCTATTGTTGTGCCTAACATGGCACGCATGTTGGACGTGCCAATCTGCCGTGCCAAAAACGCGTTTTTTTGGTAGTGTCTGCATATCAAAATCTCAACACAAAGTGTCTCTTCGTGAAGAGGGGTGCTAACGTACTACACCAGTAAAATATGAAGTATGTAATACTACCTCCGTCCCATTAAGGTTTGTCCCCCCCCCTCCTCCTCATTGTCTGTCATTTCTTTTTGACAGAGATATCATGGACGTTTCATGTCAGCTGACACAAAATCTTTTGGGATTAATGCGGGTTGTTGTTGTTGTTGTTGTTGTTGTTGTTGTAATCTTTTAAATCCATTGATTGCTCATGATAATACCAACATCCTCAGGGGCGGATCCAGGAATGAGGGGTGGGGTGGGCTAAGCAGTAAAAATTGTTGTTACTGCATACAAAAAGTTTAGCTTAGGACTGATAGTTATTGAACTGATTTTTTTTTTTTAACTACTCGAGTTCGATCGTGATTTCGAATTTAATTTAATGACCAAAGCTTAGTGAGTTTCAGGCTAAATTTTAGTTTAAATAGTTTGTTTTTACAAAAAAAGCGGCCGTTATTTTTTTGAGTTTGAATAGTTATTCAAGCTGAATTCGAGCATAGTCATGTTAAATAATTTATAAGTTTGATAACTTATAAATTATAGAAAAAACTATATACTACCTCCGCCCACTTTTATTAAGACTAATTAGACTTTTCAAGTCAAAGAAGTTAAACTCTAAAAGACTATATATTTATACAATAAGATTGATAATATGAAAATGAAATGGAAATGTTCTTTGTTAAAAAGTTCATCATAAAAGTATAAATTTAGTAAGTTTCACATTAATACATGAGTTAAAATGATGGATCAAAGTTTACCATCTTTGACTAAAGAGTCAAAGATGGCTAAATAAAACGAGACAGAGGTAGTATCTCTAAAATTTAATCGTTTTTAGTGTGATTTATAATTTTATAATTGATTATTAAAGATTTTAGTATTTATTGATATGAATTAAAATACTTCTATAAAAGTATAAAACTAATAAGTAAAAATAGTTGATGTACATAAAACTAATAAGTATTCCCAATTTTAAAATTGAATTGAGATTTTGAATCCATTCTTACATGCCTAAACAGTAAATACACCGTTCTCTATTCTTTAATTGCATAATAAATAAATTATTTTCTAATCTTTAATGCTATCTTTAATCATTATAAATTTATAATAAATAAAAACTATTTTACTATCTACTGAGAAATTCAATTAATAATCAAATAGAATTACAAAATTGGTAGGCTTGGGCTGGGCTAGACATTAATTTTGAGGTGGGCTAGAAATTAAACCTATACCTATAATAATAAAAATAAATTGGGCTGGGCTGGGCTGGAGCCCACCCCTGCCCCAACATAGATCCGCCCATGAACATCCTTGATTGAATTGGGACGAGAGTCGAACTTATGACATCCTCTTTGGGAAAGCATCATTAATGCCATCTGATATGCACTAATTATTAGTGCACAAATGTATGTTTTTATGTTTGTTTTGTGATGAGTGTTTATCTTTATTGTTAACTTTTAAACATTTGTTTGAATTTGGTTGTATTTGTATTTGTATTTTTGCATTCTTTTGTGAGTCATAAAGTAGTGGTAGAATTGGTGCCATTGGAAAACAGGACTTTGAACTGAAGAAAACTGCCCAGGTGATTTACCCCGCCGGGTATGAACTTTACCCGGTCGGATATGAGTTGAAAACGGAAGCTGTTTCAAAATTGTACACATACCTGGTCGGTATGATTTGACCCGAGAAAACATGTGCTGAAAACACAAGAACGTGGAGGATTGATTTCATTCCTTCTTCCATATATTTAAGCTCAACTTAAAGTAGTATTTTCTTTATATTTTTCTAGCATTGTTTAGTCTCTAAATGAGGAGCTAAACTTCAGACCGTTTCTTAGTTTTGCTCTTGAAACTTGTTGAATGTTTAAGCTGTGAGTTATCCTCTTAACTTCTTCTCTTGAATATTAAGTTTTCCTTAATGTTATTTCTCTATTAATGTTGGGGTGTTGCTAAGCGATGATTAGTAAACGCTTCAACATTAATTATTACTAGAAACAATCAGTGAACCGATGATTAATCATTGATGGTTTCATAAGTAAGTAACTTCGGGTTATTAATGCACGATCGTGGTTAATAATCTTAAGAGGAATTAATTGTGTTGATTAAACCGAAACTGTTGCATTGAGATTATCAATCTCAATTGATTTCATCAAAGAGTTAAAAAAATTAATTAAATGCTACTATTAAATTGATATGTGATGGTGTTTTATATTTGACTAATAATAAGAGTTGTTAATGAACTGTCTCGTTATTAATAACCATCATCGATGAATTGAATGTACTCCTTGATTGAATATTCGATATGTGATAAGTTAACAAATAATTACATAAATATGACCAAAATAAATATGGCTTACAAAAATATGACTAGTTACTAGAGTAGTAATGAAATCATATTAATTTATGTTCTAGTTTTGACTTTTGAACTTAAGTTACTACAACACTACATTGTAGTAATAAATAGTCATATTTATGTAAATAAGTTTTATTTTAGTAGTATTCTTGTAACAAAACCATAAGTTAAAGATATAACCGGGATCCACTAACATCTCAACAAGTGGAAAGTAGCAAAGACAAGTTCTTTAATCTTATTAATCTAAACCAAATAAGTAGTTCATTTTAGTGATTATTTAATTTAATCAAATCAATCCAAAAACCGCCTCTTTAGTTTTATAAAAGAAATGTATTTATTTTCATGTGGATACGAACCTTACTTCAATATACTACGTATAAGTGTTAAATATTGATTTATTTTGAGCCACATAACGATTTTAGGTGCCGTTTGGTAACACCTTTTTTCGGTTTATCAGGCTTATCAGCCAACTTTTTCACCAAACACGTAATTTTTATTTTCGCGTGCTGAATTGTGTAATAAGAGGTTGTAGTTACTTTTTTGGCTGTATTGACTGAAGTTACTGTAGATGATCATTTTAGCTATTTTTACATATATATTTTTAATTTATTTTATTAATAAAATATATTTTAAAAATATTTTCTTAAATCAGAAGAATCAGTTAATGCAGTCACTTCAGCCAGAATTTTAGAAATTTAAGCAGAATCAGCCGATTTTCGTACTACCAAACGGGCTCTTAGTGTTGTCACCATCATACCACAAGATCGATACTTGACATCTTTGAAATTATTATTGTACTATAAAAAAAGAGTAAAGAACTCAAACATCAATTATATAATCTTCTTGGCTTGGGCCGAGTAGACTTGGCAAACAAATGTTTTACTCCATATGACAGAAGCCCATTATATGCAAATGTTTAGACTTGGGCTGAGTACTAGTGTTTTCTAGAACAAACACGAGAAAAATTTCTCCGCAGATGAAGCGCGTAGGAAACTAGGAATCACCTCCAGGCTCTGGACACGTTTTCCCGTTCGAAAAATTTACTCGTATTTATTACTCCGTATTTATCCAGTTTTTCGTTTCTTTTGTGTTGTCTTCGGCTCCAAGATACGTTCTCCCCCTCTTTCTATAAATGATCTCCAAACTCTATCCTGACTGCATATCAAAATCTCCACAAAAAATTTCAAAAGAAAAGCAGAGAGGATCAGAGGAAGAAGATAAGGAGTCTGAAATCGAGAAAGAGAGATGGGTGGAGGAACAGAAGCTTTTTCAGATTTAGGAAGCCATTGCCAAAACTCCGATTGCCGCCAACTCGATTTTCTCCCCTTCCGATGCGATGCTTGTGACCACGTTTTCTGCTCCGAACACAGATCGTATAAATCTCACGACTGCCCCAAATCGGACCGCAATAACCGGAAGGTGGTGATTTGTGAGACCTGCTCCATGTCAATGGAGACCACCGGCTGCGACGGCGAAGATGAGAAGGCCGTATTACTGAGGCACGAGAAATCCGGTCATTGCGACCCGAAAAAGAAGAAGAAACCCACCTGTCCGGTGAGGCGGTGCAAAGACGTGTTGACTTTTTCGAATACGAGCTATTGTAAGACTTGCCGGATCCGGGTATGCTTGAAGCATCGATTCCCGGCGGATCACGGTTGCAATGCTGGAGCCGCATCCTCGATTTCCGTCGGGTCACGGTTGATCAAGGATCTAGGGGGAGTTGGCAATAAGTTTATGATTGCTTTTGCTGCAAGGAATGGGAAAGATTGTGGGAAGGATGGTCAAGCATCTAAATCTTCTCAATCTTCCACGCCCTCTTCGGTTAAAGCTTGTTGAAGATTTGGATTGAAATCCCTTCCTTAGTATGTTGTCTTACATATACAAGTAGCAAAAACGATGTAATCTGCTGTTGTACGTTTAAAGTTCTCAATAAAAGGTTGCCCAGTTACTTGTCCTCCATTTTGTCTCAACATGCTAGTTTACTTTGCCATTTAATATGAACTTCATACTTTGCAATTTGTAATTGTGATAAAATTTAGGCTCCGTTTGCTAGATGTTACGTTGTACTATTGGAGGATATATAATGGCTTATATTGATATATCATATTTATTACAAAACGAATTGATAAAAGGACGACTCACAACCATTAGTCCTTGAATCAGATTTAATATAAACAATCATCTTCCAGAAAGTAATATGACTTGTCATCTTGTAATGGCATAACTGAGCCAAAGGCGGTCAAAACAGACCTCTCATCACTCAATCCCAATGTCAATCATAATACAAGAGTCTGACAAAACAAAAAATAGAACGCAAGACCAAACATAGTCTGATCAAAGAAAAAAGCAGAGAAAGCAACTTTATTAAACTTGAGGTTAAACTTGAGTTGCATCCCATGAACCACGAGGGGCTCCCGTTGTCCTTCCTTGTCATAAAGTTTCCTTAAAACTCTCGGCAGGCCCCAAATTATTCCCTGGCACGAGGGTGGTTTCGAAGGAGGACGAGTTGCTGCGTATTGGTGACTCCCACTTCCAAATTTCTTTTTTGATAAAGAGAGTTCCGACCCCTACACCATCAGCCGTATCTTCGATCACCAGACCGTTTTCTTACGGGGGATTGTTGAAAAAATGTGTTAAAAATTGCATTAAATAGTGATTTTGGGGCAATATTTTGACTGGGATCCACTTCCGATATGGGTCGGGTCAAAGTGGTTTCGGATTGTCTTTGTTAAGGGCTACAAATTCGATATGTGGTACGCTCAAAACGGATAACGGGTGAATGAGAAATTGGTTTTTGAAGTTCACTCGATGGAATGGAAAAATTGGGGAAAAAAATGAGTTTCTAGTGTGATTTTTTTACCACACCGGAAAACCCAAGGGAATTTGAACCCCTTATAAAGGGAAGTCTCTTTTAAGGAGATAAGATTCTTAAGATGAAAGACTCTCTTTGCGGGGGGGGGGGGGGGGGGGGGGAGTGAATCAAATTCCGAAAACGGAGAAGAAAAACCGCGATCCGCGTGCGCGGGCGACCTGCGGACACGAATGTCGTCCAAAAATCTATCTTTCAAAGATACAATTTAGTTTTTGTTTCTTCTTAATACCCAACGTTCTTATCTTTTAATGCTTCTTTAAATGGACAGTTTTTTGCCATATTAATGTCCAACGTGCTGGACATTTATGTGCAACGCTCAGGTCCATTAAAGCTCTATTAACACACAACAAATCCTCCTATATATAGCTGACATGTGCTTTGCAACAACACATGCAATCATACACAATCTGCACGTATTTCTTCCGCTAAAAACACCTCCAGCTAGCTACTTCCGGAAAAAAATTCCTTAGTGTTATTGCTTGCTTTCCGTTTGTTGGAACAATTTGTTGAGTGCTCAAACAATTGTTCGTAGTCATCGTATCCTGGAAAACTATCGTTGACTAATTTATGCTCCATCTTATTTCTGTATTTTCAATTAATTTATTTTAATTAATTTTCTTTATTTCCAAAACACACCCAACAGTATTATTGTCGAAGAGGCGTGCAATGATATTTGTGCATAACTAAAGCAAAATACAAAAGTCCAAAGTGGTAATTCTTGAAGCTATATTTGGTGCATTATTTGCCTAAACTCAGGTTTTTCAGCCTATTTAGGTGCACCACATGGCCTCTTAATCAATCATTTTGATTAAGTTATTTCACAAAGTTATATGTTTACAGTTTTATAATAGTGATTTTGATAACAAAACTTCTTTATAATTAAAATTTTAAGAACAAAAATAAAAAGAAAGATGTCAAAGTTATACGGCCTAGTACTCTCTATATATGAGTTGGAATATTAGACTTTTAGTTTTGCACCAATGGTTGTTAGGAGTGGGACCGTGGGACTAGTATATGAGTGGGATGGAGAGAGTAAGAAAATTTCTTCCTCTATGTCATCTTGCCAACAGCTTTTCTGTTAGAAGATAGATTACATTGATGATAAGTAACCGAGTAATGATACAATTGGGTTGATAAAGTATTGCTAGGCTATCCTGATGTATGTAGTACAAAATGACGCCTTAGCTTTCTTGTGTTACAGTTCTAATGAATCGATTGAGAGTAATGCATTAACAAGCATTGGATTTTTGCCAACACCCTATTTTATTACTCCAAGTCGATGCTTGATGCTAAATCCCACTTATTTCATATCTGGGTAACATTTTTTCTTACTATTATGTCCAAAGTAGCCTGCAGAATGATAAACTCTAAGTTGAAAGAAAAACTAAAGCAGGTCATTACGAGTTGCATTGGTATTTGCTGATATAGGTGCTGTTTGTTTTTCGGTGGTTCCACGCCAATCCGCTGCTAATAGCAGCGTTTCTAAGTTATAAAAAACAGCGGTTTGATGCCAGTATCCAAACAGGCTCATGGAATCTCATTGTAAGAAACGCAGGTTGTGTAGTTTCTGGTATGTTACAAATCACTTGGTATATTACATTGGTATGTTACATTGGTATGATAAAAAACACTTCTTTGCAATCACTTCTTTAGTTAATTTGTTAAAAATTCTTACAGATAAGTCAGGCTGGAAATTACTCAAGATTACTGACACGGTCAAACTTACAGAAGACCACAAACACAGTCAAGCTCAAAGAACTCAATCCAGCTAGAAACCAGTAATAGTTATCCAAACGGGCTTCCTTCATATCATCAGAGAACCAACCGTGCTGGTTCCCGCCCGAGTTTGTGAAATGTTCAAGCACAGTAATGAGAAGGGAACCGAAGAAGCTTCCGAAACCGAACACGCTCGTGTACAGAGCTAATCCTAAAGTCCTCATCTTCTGAGGAACCTCGGAATAGAAAAACTCTTGCATCCCAACAACAGTGAATATGTCTGAAATTCCCAAGAGAATGTACTGAGGAAGCAGCCAAAAAATGCTCATCATGTGAACTATCTTTTCGTCGTTATGATTATTATTATCCCTGCTGATTTCAAGCCTTTTACTTTCGGTGAAAGCAGCAATCACCATTGCTATTACTGATAAGAACATTCCTATGCCCATTCTTTGCCTAACTGTGACACCTCTCTCGTTTTGAGTGAAGACTCGAACCAACGGGATGAAGCATTTGTCGTAAATAGGCATGAGAAGGAGTATAGAGACCGTTATGGCACTCTGAAGGGCTGCTGGTGGGATCTTGAAATCGGATCCAATGTTTCTCTTCATTGTCATGCCTTGTTTGGTGAAGAAAGTTGATGGCTGTTGGAAGATCACTGCAAAAGGTAATAGCAACGCCCACACCGGTGATAAGCGTATAACCACTCGAGCGATTTGGTGGATGTTGAGGCTGCTGTTCTGCTTCTTCTCGCCTGCATTCTTCTCTAGATCTTCACAGTCTTGACTGCACAGTGGCTTTTCTTGAAGTCTAGAGTAACAACAACAACAAAAGATTGAAACGTTAGGATTTTCACTTTTTTAGCTGCCTAATTTGGGGACTAAAGTTACTTTTAGTCCCCAAAATTACTATAGCAATATAAATGAGTATATAAAAAGCAGTTACACTTACTCTAGCTGGACAGCATCAGATTTGTTACCAGGGAGTGAAATTCCAGCATGATTCTTCATTCTTGATGCAGTGTCTTTCATGACCTGAATCACTTTCCAGAGAGATTTGGGAAACTCGACTTCTTTGGAATCTTTGTGCACATAGAACCGATTGGCAGACATGAAAATAATCACGGAGACGAGCATGGAAACAGCGGGAATGGCGAATCCAATCCCCCATCCTAAGGTGTCCTGAATATAAGACATGACTGAGACACCTAAGAGACTGCCGCAGCAAATGGCAAAGTACCACCAATGGAAAAACAAGCTCTTGTCTTCTTTGTCTTCAAGCTGTTCTGCAGCAAAGGCCTGTAAAGATGGGTTATAGCCACTTAACCCGAGTGAGATCAGGTGGAGTGGCCATGACAGGGAAGATGAACTTATTTTGTTTCCATTGCTCCCCCATGCCTCTGATGCCAAAATCACCAGCCCCTGTAAGTAAATGGCAACACATTTAACACCAAAATAAATTTACTACTTCATTCTGGGAATCTCAAACTAGTACTAGTTACATCTTTACTTTGGAATTCATTTGTGTCAAGGCACAAATTTGACTAGTCATATATTCAATTGTCTATTAGAAAATTGTATTTTGAAATTTTACTTTGAGAATATATGGTCGAAATTAATAGCCTCTTGTTTATGCCAGTTTTCGGGCAACTGAAATGGGAGATGCACTTGAAGGAGGAGGAGAAGTAGAAGACTAGAAGCCATTAACGGAACAATAATGACAATACTTTTGAAGAAAACAACTGTAATTTCTGAAAATAATAAAGTACATACAAGTGACAATAATGATGATCAAGGACAAATATTCAAGACTAGCTATAAAAACCAAAACAAGAACTTCATATATAGTCATATAGAAGATGTTGCATTAAATACGCTTATTATATAATCCTCTGTCCCTAAAAACACTTCTAACTTTGTTTTTTGGATGTCCCAAAAAACTTCTACTTTTCTTTTTTTAGTAAAGAATTTGTGGTTCACACCAAATTTTACACATTTGCACAACTCTCCACCACACAATACTCAATGTCTTAATCCCGTGCCATTTGTACTATGGAAGTAAATTTAGGGACGGAGCATGGGCGGAGCTAGGGGTGGGCCAACCTAGGCCCTAGCCCAACTCAAATTTTAAAAATACCTTAATTTTTAGTGTAAAAAATTCCGTTGTAATTTTTTATCTAAAATATTCTTTGTACCGGCCCAGTGCGGCCCAATGCTCTGGCTCCTCCACTGGGACGAAGGAAGTGTGTAAGAGGCTAAAATAGGTAAATTAGTACCAGACAATAGAGAACTGCAGAGCCTAAAATAGTGGTGTGAGTGTGGAAATAAGAGTCGGCAAAGGGCGCCACCAAGAGCGGCAGCATGGACGTAACGCCGCACCAGTTGTTGACCAGCTTCGCCGCCGCGGAGTTGCTCATCTTCGCCACGTCCGTCAGGTACGTCACCATGTTCGCCGCCACTCCTTTGAACGTAAACCTCTCCATCCCCGCTATCCCTGCATCAGACCACCCATCATTTTTTAGCCCCTCAAATACTACGTATGTATACATAAAATTAACATATTCGATCAAATTACCCATGATGAGAACGCATGGTACGGTCAGGCCTTTCCCTCCGCCCATATTTGCCCAAGAGATCGATGGAGGAATATTCACATGTCCATGTGTGTTTATATATATAATCCCACAGTCCGTTTCGGAATTGAATACTCCGTATGATTCTTGCCTTTTATTATGTTATTTTTATTATACTCCGTAGGATATTGAAGTTACATATCGGTTAGTTATGTTGTTGAAGACTAGTGTCAGAATTTGACCGAATAAAAGGTGTGTATAATGTTGACATCATGTCACCCAAAAATAACATAAAGCGACACTGTTATACCACAGTGAACATATCTTGGGCGTTCACTTCCAACGTTAACGTTGGACGTTTGCTTTAGTATGTTAAATTCAAGTAATTATGAGTCTATAAAACTAAGGGTAACGCTCAAATAGTCAAATTATTAAATTGGGTGAATGTGTTAAAATTGATTAAAATCTGGTTGAAGTGTTTCAATTCATCGAATCTGATAAATTATGAATAACTTTTTTTGCGAGGATATATTATGAATAAATTATAGGGAAACATATATGTCGTTGGGCCTATTTTCAGACACGGGCTTGTGTTTAATCTTTTGACAAAGTGGATCACGTGTTTAAATTCTGTTATCACATGAGGGGATCAATGTCTGACGACGTTAGAAATTCGAAGGAAGACGATGAACAACACGTCTAAATTTCAAAAGTACCCGGAAAATTAAAAGAAAAATATTAGGGTGCGCCTCATTAAGGAGACCTCCAAATTATCTTTCTCTTTAGACTTTTAGGATTAGTTTGGATTATTGTATAAAAATGAATTTGTAAATATCACTTTTTCGATAGATTTTCGGGCGACAAGAGCGGCTAGAAACAAAAGAAGACGACTTAAGATTTCTGAGCACTTTTGAGAATCAGAGTTACTGTTCATCGTCTTTCTCTGACGATTTCTAATGGCGTTAGGCGCCGACCCCTCCTCTGATAATTGAATTTAAACACGTGAGCTACTTTGTTAAGAAATGAAACGCATATCCTTATCTAAAAACGGACTCAATTATAAGTACTTTCTCGCACATTTCTCTGAGTTATATTTGAAATATACTCTATTAATAAAATAAAATAAAATAAAATAAAATAAAATAAAATAAAATAAAATAAAATAAAATAAAATAAAATAAAATAAAATAAAATAAAATAAAATAAAATAAAATAAAAGATTATGTGAAAATAATTGAAATTTTCGTACAGTAAATGTCATTAATTAAATAATGATCCAATTCGATCGTGTAAAATAGAAAGGGGAGGATAACGATTTAGACTCTAGACTTGACAATGAAGACATAAAATATAGTGGTGGTTTTGTGAGATGGAAATCACTTTGTATGTGCTTTCGTCCTTTAATTTGTTAAAGATTATGAATTAAGTGATTGATTAGAACGTAAAAAGCGGATAATAGATCGAATGAAGTGAGAGGTGGTCCGTAGACGTGAAGCACCCAACGAGTGTTGCGTCTAGTATCCGATGAAACATTACACAATGCAGATCCGTGCAAACACTAATTAATTGGCTTTTGGAATTTGCAAGCCCTCAATTGCGTAGCAAGGAGTATTTTTTTTAGGAGGCGGCATCAAATCAAATAGGGACTCAATCAAATACTATCTGCTCTGTATTTTAAAACAGGCTCCCACTATAAACTATCCAGGAAAAATTGTAAAATTAGGATGTTTTTACTTGGGCTGTAATTTGTCCCAGACCAGACCAGACCAGACCAGACCAGTTCAGACCAGACCAGACCAGACTTGGATAATTATAAAAATACAAAGAAACCAGACCTTACCAGACCAGACCAGTTCAGACCAGACCAGACCAGACCAGACCAGCAAATTACAGTCCAAGTAAAAACATCCTTAGTCCCGTAACTTTTGGTGGTGCTCGATATTGGTCCTCTAAGTTCATTTACTTGCATAATACGTCCTCTAATTAACATATTTGTCCAATTTCAGGACATTTATGTTGGAAAGTAATAATTCCGCCAGAAATTAACACATCAGCGTCACTTGTTCATATTTTTTTCATATGGCCTAGCTGACCTGAACTTGAGACCCTGTTTTTGGTTCCCTCCCAAACACTCCTTATTTTAAAACATCCTGCACATAAAGAAAACACTCTCTGATTCATAACACATTAAAAAAAATAGCTAGATTAAACTGAATACGGAGTAGTAGATTATACATCTTCAATTTATTACTTATAAATTCCAAATACGAAGTTGTAAAAATGAACATAAAGAAAAAACTTCACTTCAGGCTATTTTTTTTTAATTCTTGACACTTATCAATTTTAAAAGCCTCCATTTGTAATTATAGAAACGGTCCAGAAAAAAGACAACTCGTTAGTTTTGCTAATCAACTATTATTCTTGTTCCAATGTCTTGTTAGAACCTTTAACAATAGAATTTTTTTCTCTTATATCAAAGTAATACTACATATAAAATATCTAATTTTTTCAAGCAAAATTTGAAACCTACAAAATTAAAAAGTTTAGAGTTTTTACTCTGTTTCTGGAGCACACATGGAACCTCCTTCCCTCGTCATATATCAGTCTATGAAGTCAAAACACGGCCTTCTTACCACAATGATATTCCATAGATCCTTGTCTGAGCCATTATTTGCACTTTAGAGGAACACACACTCACCTTCCTTCCATATGTGGAGAAGCCGGACCAAGAATTATGAAGCCTCCGTTCTTCTCTTAGGTTTTGTGCTTTTATTGTTCTAATGGGGGATTTGGGAGATCAGAGCACAATGAAGTGTTTGAGAATAAGTCATAAAAGGGGCCCACATCCAAGTCAGCTGCAAATGTTAGGAAAAGATTACAACGGGAGATTGACATGTAACTTTCCGGCCAAAATTTAACTTTCCGACGACAATGTCCTCAAATTGAACAAATATATTAGTTGAAAGATGTATTTTGCAAGTATGTAAAGTTATAGGATCAATATCGGCTATTAGACAAAGTTACAGGACTTTTTTAACAAATTTCCCAACTATCCACAACTCTTTTGATACTAAAATTGGCGTCCCAACGAATTAATTATCTACTACGGTCTACGGCTAGATCGGGATGTCACTTCACCTCTTAATGATACTAGACCAATTGACCAAGTACTTGTGGATCTAGAATAGAGTAGGGGTGGGTTCGGTTTATGCGGTTCGGTTTTGACCTAAAACCAAATGTAGAATCAAACTAAAAACTTCGGTTCGGTTCGGTTCGGTTTGTTCATATTTTTTGTCCAACCACGGTTGATTCGGTTCAGTTTTGTTCGGTTCGATTTTGGTTTTTTTCGGTTTTAAACCATAATACACATACTTTCTGAAAAAAGAAATGACGTGCAATTGTGCAAAATAACCAAAGTGCAGGAAAATAAAACACAAAGTACTGAAGAAAGTCAATTCCTGCCTTACAATTTAAATAAAGTGCACTAAACATTAGTGCATGACACTTAAAAGTTAAGCGTAGTAAACTTGGATATAGTGCAACAAAATAAAATGCAGTCCCAACTGAAATCAAAATAAAATGCAGTCCCAAAGGGAGATCCGCTCATTTTTGCTTCACATCTTGAATCGAGAGAGCAAAGTGGAGGGCGGGTATTCGTGTGGAGTAGTGATCTCGTATTATTATTATTATTATTATTATTATTATTATTATTATTATTATTATTATTATTATTATTATTATTATTATTATTATTATTATTATTATTATTATTATTATTATTATTATTATTATTATTATTATTATTATTATTATTATTATTATTATTATTATTATTATTATTATTATTATTATTATTATTATTATTATTATTATTATTATTATTATTATTATTATTATTATTATTATTATTATTATTATTATTATTATTATTATTATTATTATTATTATTATTATTATTATTATTATTATTATTATTATTATTATTATTATTATTATTATTATTATTATTATTATTATTATTATTATTATTATTATTATTATTATTATTATTATTATTATTATTATTATTATTATTATTATTATTATTATTATTATTATTATTATTATTATTATTATTATTATTATTATTATTATTATTATTATTATTATTATTATTATTATTATTATTATTATTATTATTATTATTATTATTATTATTATTATTATTATTATTATTATTATTATTATTATTATTATTATTATTATTATTATTATTATTATTATTATTATTATTATTATTATTATTATTATTATTATTATTATTATTATTATTATTATTATTATTATTATTATTATTATTATTATTATTATTATTATTATTATTATTATTATTATTATTATTATTATTATTATTATTATTATTATTATTATTATTATTATTATTATTATTATTATTATTATTATTATTATTATTATTATTATTATTATTATTATTATTATTATTATTATTATTATTATTATTATTATTATTATTATTATTATTATTATTATTATTATTATTATTATTATTATTATTATTATTATTATTATTATTATTATTATTATTATTATTATTATTATTATTATTATTATTTTCCCTCGTCTTTTTTTCTTGTTTTTTATTCTTTTATCCTTATATATATAAACATTATTTTTACCCTTTAAATTTTATCATTTTTATGTATATTCATTCCGTTTTATATTATCTTTTTTTATAATAGCTTATTTTTTAATCTTCATTTTCTTTCTTTTTCTTTTGGTGGTGATATCATGTATCGATTCATGTTAGCCGACCCCAATTTCATTTGAGACTAAGGCTTGGATGTTGTTGTTGTTGTATCTTGAATCGATCTACCATGTCTTCGACGGCGGCTCCTTTTTTCGAGAGCTAAGCCTCTTGCATTTTAGGTTAAAAGATTATGGAGTACTGGACTCGTAAAAAGCCTCTTACGCTTTCAGTCTTGAGCGTTGACCACATGGTCCACATGACCGGCCATATACTCCATATAAAATAAATGATTTTTTTATATTTTTAAATATTTCGGTTTTTCGGTTCGGTTCGGTTTTGAGGAGTCAAAACCGAAATCGAAACCAAACATGTTCGGTTCGGTTCGGTTTCTTATGTTCGGTTTCGGTTTTTCATCGGTTCGGTTTATTTGGTCGCGGTTTGATTTGATTCGATTCGGTTTTCG